TCAATGGGTTATTTAACGCCGACAACATTTTTAGGATAGATTCGTATGAATAGAATATGTATTCTTTGCTTTAGATTGGTTTGATTTATTTTGTTTCACGGCATATAAACCTCAATGGGTTATTTAATGCCGACAACATTTTTAGGATAGATTCGTATGAATAGAATATGTATTCTTTGCTTTAGATTGGTTTGATTTATTTTGTTTCACGGCATATAAACCTCAATGGGTTATTTAATGCCGACAACATTTTTATTGCTGATAATATATTTACCTTCAAAAATGTATTGCTTGTAATATTTATTTTCTTATAAAATGTACTGCTGGTAATAATTTATTCCTGGTAATAATTTTTATCAAAACATTTACTGCTGGTATTAAAACCTATTTTTACACTTTCATAGTGTTCTGACCCCAGTTTTGGGCGTTAACTATTTTCCCATACTTGGGACCCTAACAGGTGCTACACAAGTAATTAAGAGGTGCTTCCACGCTCCTCAAAACCTCATAATCAGAAGTCTTGTTTTTGGATGTAGTTTATCTTCTTATCCAGGACGCGGGTGTAGTTTATCGTCTTACCCAGGACGTGGTTTAGGAGAGATAACATAAAGACAAAATTTACTAAGGGCTACAAAGAACAGGAGGCTTTAGATAACCATGATCCCCGACGCACTGAAGAGACAAGCCACACAGAAGAATAATCAGCATGTGTCGCTTCCATCACTTCTGTCATCATAGCATCCTGTAGAATACATTGATAGGTAAATACACGAATCTTTCGCTAAATACGTTATCTACAGTTAAGGCTGCTCGTACAAGTACAAATATTTATTTTGATAGACGGAATTACATAGTTCACAAAAGCAGTCGCAAATGCGTATTTTTAAAAAAGAAATGACAGATGTACTTTCAATGTACGTGCACATATATATATATATATATATATATATATATATATATATATATATATATATATATATATAACTATTAATATAATTCGACCAGGATTTACATCATTATAGGTAAGTATATACTGAATTTTTTGTGCATAATAAAACCCTGTGTTTCTGAAGGTGGATACAGGGAATAAATTACATCCTTAAATATAAGACGACCTCCATTGTACAGACATCTGTATGTAATTCTTTTTTTGAAAATTTTACCATATCATCCATTAAAATCTCAATGTCGTACATATATTTCAGTAAAATATTTAATTTTTCACGATATGAAAGAATAGAAACGAAGCGGATGTTACTTGTTTCTTCTTTGAATTTCCGTTTCAAAACTTCTTTTCGAATTTTCAGAGAAAGGTGCTTTGTTGTAAAATTAATGTTATCAAAACAAGACAGATCTTGTGTCTGTCCTTTATTCATTGTCTTAACCAATTTCGGTGAATTTCCTGTCTTTGAGACAAAAGACGTTTAGTTCCATTGATACGAAAGGAACAACATTTACCGACATATCAAATACCTTTTGTAAACAATTGTTAACACCACCTGCCTACGTTGGGTGTGTATTTGCAATCTTGCCGTTTCAAATAAGAAAGCTGTTTTAAGGTGAGTCAAAAATTCTGAAAAAAATATATTTGTGCATAATACGACCCGCCTTTTTTTGTCTTTATCTTTCGATATTTCTCGTATTATACGCAAGAAAACACGGTAGGCGCACAGATATATATACTTTCTTTCTCGCTGACGCATAGGAGTTGGTTTTAAAAACATTTACGCAGAAAATGCAAGTATCTTGTTCAACTGATTGAAAAATAAAAAAATATCTTCAGACGTGTTGAATTCGCAGAATAATCTCATACGTAAATTTATTTTGGATTGGAATGTATATTTTCTCACGTTTGATATGTGGGGTTAGATTATAAACTTATTATTTTAACTATTTCACGGAAGCTGGGGATTTTATTATATATTTTTCATTATATCATATACTATCATACCATATATATATATATATATATATATATATATATATATATATATATATATATATATATTTTTTCAGATGGAGTGTATCTGTAAAGGAACAAAATTAATAAAAAGACAATAGAAAAAAACTATTCGTAGCCAACGCGTTTCGTCCTCTGAGGGATTTTATCACATTTGCCTTGACAAAGTCCCTCACAGGGCAAAAAACACATCAGGTAAGAATAGTTTTTCCTGTTAATCTTTTTATTCACACACACACACATATATATATATATAATCCCGTATGTGTGTGTGTATATATATATATATATATATATATATATATATATATATATATACATACACACATATACATATATATACATATATATGCATATATATACACACATGCGGATGACTATATATATATATATATATATATATATATATATATATATATATATATATATATATATATATATATAAATATATATGAAGTAATATGTAGTATTTCCTTTCGAAAGTAATTGTCAATATTCTTGTATTATTTCGACCTGTTGTTGCCATCTTGGTTGATGTTATTAGAGACACAGTAACTGATATCACTAGTATTGATGTTGATGTTATTATAGACAATGTTTCGACCAAGTACCCTCTGGTCATCATCAGGTGTTTTCATTGCTTAGCTGATATGAAATATCTGTTGATTAGTGCGATATAGTTGCTTATACATGTGATACTATTGTCTAGCGGTTATGAGTTCGATCCTTGGAACTGGTAGTGATTCAGCAGGAACGAAAAATAACTGATTTCACAAGGAAAAAAATATCGCAATAATAAACAGATATCCCACATCAGCAAATCAATGGAGACCAGATGATGACCAGTACTTGGTCGAAACGTTGTGTTAATTATAGCATCTACATTTGGAATAATACAGGAATGTCTATGATGCACTTATATCACAACATATGATGTATGTGTATTACAGTATATATATGGTGCGTTTATATCAAAATATATACGATGTGCATATATCACAGAATATATGATACATGTATATCACAGCACGTGTTGTAATATATACAAAGGTGTGTTTTCAAAGCTTCTCGATTAGACTAGCTTCCCAAAATCTGGCTAAATATCTTTTTTTTTCTCTAGGAATTGCTTGTTAGTCAGACAGAACTTTTCGTCAGCATTTCTTGTATTTTTTACCTTTGATCATAAAAAAGAAAATTAGAAAAAAATATATATGTAAACTTAATTAAAATAATTTTGGATCGTAATATTTCTTATTTAAATGAATTAACGAAAAGAAAAAAAAATGTAATTTTCCTTTCGTAGAAATATAATTACATGCGATAATAATAATTAGAATATTAACAAAATCTATTTGAAAGAAGTCTGCAGAAAAATTATTTTTCATATCGGCTAATATTTCAAGGTAAGACTTATTGTGTACACGGCTCAGAAGTTTTCAACATCAATAAAAACTTTAATGATTGATTTCAATATGAATAAGACGTATTGTAGTGTACACAGCATAGAATAACTGCTATTGTCTTATAAATACGGTAGTGTGGCTGTAATAAACTTTACGAACTAGCTGCAGTAATGATAGCTGTTAGATTTACCTATTTCAAATATACATAACTATACCGAGTTAGTATTAAATTAAAATATGAAATGATAAAACTAACAATGATAACATATGAATATATTCAGAAATAAAATAAATATAGAAATGGAAAAATAATTTATAATAAAAATCAAATGAAGATCGATAAATCTTTTCGTTGCATCGATGAAAAAAATATTTTTAATTTAATGTTTAAATTGGCGCCCTCTTTACTGAAGCGATGATTCCATTAGTTGTTGTCATTCATTCTGCTACTGTCGTTCGTTCATTGTTTTATTCATACAATAACGATAAAGAGACTTAGAATTGTTTGGAATCAGTAGAAATTGCGGTTGTAATGAAGATGATCGTCTAAAAACTGATTCCGTTTAAGACAGAATATATAAGAAGTAGTCATTAATGACTGCGATAAGCAAGAATTTGATCAGTAAATAAAAGTTAGATACTTTTATTATAGAATACTAGTTTGGCACCTGTGGCTTCGCTGACGTCAAGGGGATCAAATTTCAAATCGAAATTGTTTGCTCAATGAAAAATGAAAATACTGCATTTATTAGAAAATATATTCAGCATAAATCTAAATATATTCAGCATAAATACAGGTGTTATTAAAATGTTTTCAAAGGGTCGCACTTTTTTTTCCCGCCTGTTACCCAGAAATTAGCCTTGCGACATCAAATTACGATTTCATTCGAATTTTGTCTGTATATGCATCTGCGTGCGCGTCTATATTGCAATTCAGTTACAAGCCTAAAAATATTTCTACAATTTTGTTTTTTTTTTAAAAAAAAAGCTTTAAAAATTTTATTTTATTTTTTACTGAATAATTTCCAAAAATTTTAATGAATTTTTATAATTCTGATGTTTTAGTGTGGGAGTTAAAAAAAACTGATTTTTTTTTTATTTTCTTGTTTCCAACTTTATTATGTTATTGCTTAGCTCGGTACTTATATAAAGAAGAAATGCATAATTTCAGTCAACTTGTGTTATATATATATATATATATATATATATATATATATATATATATATATGTGTGTGTGTGTGTGTGCGTGTGTGTGTATGTGTGTGTGTGTGCTTGTGTTTACATTGAATGCTGCAAAACGCATTATATCCCTGACGCGCAACATAGACGTGCGTATATACTCGTATACACGCGTGCGCAAAGTCAGACAGTGCGTGACGGACAGAAAATCAAGTCTGGTTTTTCTAACATAGATTATTAAGGCTAAAGTTTTCTAAGTACTTAACGATATTAGAATAATTAGAAAAACATGAAACAAAAAAAAAACAAAAAAAAAAAAACTTGACAGTCTCCTCCGACGATACGGAAACAATAGAGAAAAGAAAAAGTTGATAGTAAAGTTACCTGGAAAAAAAAAAAAAAGATTAAACTTTATTATTGTTTTTTTTTTTCTTTTTTGTTTTCTATCGGTACTTACCTAAAATTGCTACATGGATGAATAACCCAGTTTCCAACACGTTTGTGTCGCATCTTTTCCTTATAGAGAGCATTTTTGTTACCAAAAAGCTTCATAGCCAACTTATTATCCGATGGTTGGAAAAACGAGTATATTTGGTCTTTTAGAAAAGTTGTTGGACTCGATTTTGTGTTTTCCACAGTAACGTTCTCCTCCCTGCACGGCAACAACTCCTCCTTCGGCGTGCCGTACAGGCTAGTATCATCCCCTATAAATTGCACACGTGCATCGCTTTTATAGTTAATTTCGGGGCTGAGGTAGTCACTATACACCGACTCATCGTCGGAGTCTATAGTTATGGTAATAGACGGGTTAGGGTTATTTTGCGGTAGACATGGCATAGTAGCTTCTGTCTTATCGACTCTCTCGGCTCTAGCGGCAGCTGCGACGTTGAGTCGTTTTAACTTTAAGCTCGGAACGCGTCTAGATGCTCTTGGTGGTGTTGAATGTCCAATCGGTTGGTGGGGAGAGCGAGGCGCTCCACCAGTCGCTGGTCGGAACTTGACTGAGTCCGAACGCTGAAAATGCGGCGATGGTATGGTAGCCGTCACCGGTGTTGTTGTGCTGGTGGTTACTGTAGTCGTCGCGGTGGTCGAGGCGATGATGCTGCTGCTGCTGGTTGCCGTAGAGGTGGCGGTGGTGGCAGTTGCTGCTGCTGCAGCCGGAGAAATAGCACTAGTAGCCTCAGTAAGGACCCCTCCAACAATGATTGGAGTGCTACTGCTACTTCCTACTCCTCCTCCGATAACGCCACCACCACCACCGCTGCCGCCGCTGCCGAGGCCTCCTCCTCCTCCTCCCACTCCTCCCACACCACCACCGAAACTGCCGCCGACGGCTCCGAGACCGCCACCGCCGCCGGCGACGATGTTACCTCCCAGGTTCGTCAAACCGACGGGTGGCGGTTTCAATACCGTGCCTGGCGACATGGTTAATGGAGTCACATTACTCGGGGGCAGGAGTGCGCTCGTGGCTGGAACAGGGGAGAGCCCCATCATCGGGGCGTATGCTATGCTGCCTATGCCTGGGGCTGGCGTCGGGGTTAAAGGTATGCTGGGTGTTGGTAAGGTCGTGGCAGAAGGGCCGGCGATCGTCGTAGAAGCGACAGCGGCGGTCGGGAAACCGGGGGTAGTGGTGGTGGTGGTAGTGGTCGGAGCCGTTACCGTCGCGACAGTGCCGGTGGTGACACCTGACGGCGGTGGCGGCGGCGGCTTGTGGGGTGACGTAACAGTGTCATTATTATTGTTTGGAAGTAGCTCGAGGTCTTTGTAGGTCGGTGACACTCCAGTGCTGCTGGTGGGCCCCCCCGTCGTGCTACCAATCGGCGTGTTGATGTTCGAACTTGATTCCTGCAGTGCGATTGGAGGGACGGTGAGCGGGCTGGAAGCCACCGGTAGGAAGAGACCATCGCTACTGCTAGTGACCGATGGAGACAGACTTTCTGAAGAGTTGACAACCACACTAAGAGTCGGTGATTTTGCCATATCTCGATTACTATCCCTCGGCTGGATGGGCAATCTGCAACGAGAAATTGGGAAAGTTTTACAATTCTTCAAATATGTTCTCTTTCTATATATATATATATATATATATATATATATATATATATTGAACAATAAAAAAAATTAAAATCTTTAGACACACTGGGTCGTAGATTAATATTCTTTCGTT